TACGGCCAATCTGGACAGCAGACTAAAAAGCAGAGACATCACTTTGCTGGTAAAGGTCCTGGGTTCAAAGATCAATGCAGATGGTGACTGTGCCATGAAATTACAAGACATGTGCTCCTTGGAAGGAAAGCTACGGCCAATCTGGACAGCAGACTAAAAAGCAGAGACCTCACTTTGCTGGTAAAGGTCCGTAGAGTCAAAGCTTTAATTTTTCCAGTAGCAACGTATGTCTGTGAGAGCTGGACTACAGAGAAACCTGAGCACCGAAGAACTGACAGTTTTGAACTCTGCTGCCGGAGAAGACTTCTGAGAATCCCTTGGACAGCAAGGAGAGCAAATCAGGCAACACTTAAAGAAATCAATTCTGACTCTTCACTGGAAGGCGAAATACTGAAGCTGAGACGGAAATAGTTTGGCAACATAATGAGAAGATGGAACTCACTGGAAAAGACCCTGATGTTGGAAAAGATTAAAGGCAAAAGGAGAAGGGGATGGCAGAAAAAGAGATGGATAGAGAGAGTCATTGAAGCAATGAGCATGAGCCTGGACAGACTTGGAGAGACAGCGGAGGGCAGAAGGGCCTGGTGTGCTGTGACCCATGGGGTCACGAAGAGTCAGACATAACTGAACAACAACAATAATGGAGCCCGTGGGAGCTGATGGGATCCCCACGCAAGACAGTACAGAGCAGAGGTTCTCAACTTCTCCTGTGTCCTGGACACCCCGCCTCCCAGCCCCAGGAGTGTGGTGACGCTTATGGACTCTTCAGAACAATGTTCTAAAACGCATAAAATACTCAGTATTACAGAGGAAACAAATTATGCTAAAATACAGTAATCAAAATATCTTTTAAAAACATTAAAATAAGTTCACAGACCCCAGGTTAAGACTCTCTAGCAAAGAGGGAGAGAAGGGCCCAGGAGAGACCCTTGGGAAACACCCACGCGGGGTGGTCGTGACTTGAAAGAAGATTCAGCAAAAGAGACAGAGACAGGGTTAGTTACAGGGGTGGAAAGAGAACCAGGAGAGAACAGTATCATGCAAAAGAGTCAACACTGGCCACTCAAAGGGTGCTGTGTGGGTAGCGGGGAGGAAGAGGATGGAGAAAGGCCATTCCTGCTGCTGTTCCACGCTCAGTCATATCTGATTCTTCGTGACCCCACATGGGTTTTCTTGGCACAGATACTGGATGGTTTGCGTTTGCTTCTCCAGTGGAGAAAGGCCATTTGATCTGGCAATGAAGAAACCACTGGTGACCAGAGGGCAGCTTCAGTAGAAGGAAGAGGCCAGAAGGCAGAAGAGAAAGCACTCAGAAGAGAGTGAGAGGACTGACTGTACACAGCTCTGTTGAGGGGCTTCACCATGTCAGGGAGAAAAGAGACAGGATGACAGAGAGGAGGGATGGCAGGCTCCAGCGAGGAAGTCTGGGGAGACGTGGGAGTGTCTGTAGGTAGCAGGGGAGCACCAGTGGAGGGGGGAGAGAAACTGAAGATTAGTGAGAGGGGTGAGGATGGAGGAGGCAGTCAGCTGGAGGTCTTGCAGCAGGGGTCACCCGGGCAAGGAGAAGGGGTGTGAGACAAGGGGTAATGGAGATTTTGTTGTGGGGCATGACCTCGGGTGATGTGAATTGGGCAGGGAGAGAAGAGGGAGCTCCAGGCAAAGAGCCTCAATGTTTTCAGTGAATTCGGAGGCAAGGTCTTTGGAGTGAGAGGCAGGGAAGCCAAGGGAGGGCAGAGCAGGGTGAAGGGTTGGAAAGGCCACTGTGGGGATGGCAGAGAAGTATTGGGGACGTGCAAAAGGACTGCTGGGGAATATGTAACATAAACCGTGGTGGACCCCTTCAGTATGGTTTTGTGATTTTCTCCTGCTCTGTTCAAAAGTATGTGATTAAGAAAGACACGATTGGTGAGAGTGACCCAAAGTACTATCAATGACAGGAGGAGGGGCTGCCATCTCCTAGCACCAGGGCAGACGTTAGATGGAAAGACTATGAGCCAGCTACTGACCTCCCCGACAAAGGACAGTGCCCCAAGGACAGAAGGAACTGGCCCCCAGAATCTTGGCTCACACAGATTTGGATTGAATAACCCACAAAGGAGGTGGTGCGTAGAAGGGGCAATGGGGACTGCTGAAGGCGAGGGGGGCATGAGTGGAAGTGCAGCCTGGGCTGGAAAAGGTGACCATGGCCAGCCAGAACACAACAGGAGGTGAGAACCAAGATGGAAGGAGTAGAAAAGGAAAAGGCTTAAGATGAAAGTGAGATGAGGAGACCAGGAAAATCTGCTTAGTGGAGGCAGCCTCTGACAGAGGATGGACGTGAAGGATGGGTTCTAAGAGACAGGGGAAGAGGGAGCATTCCAGGCCTGTCTAAAGTCAGTGCCGAAAGAGAAGCACATCCTCTGCTCTGTGTTGGGGCACCTGGTGGCCCAGTAGGTAGAGCACTGAGCCTGGAGTCAGGAAAACCTGAATTCCAATCCAGCCTCAGACAGTGACTCACTGGGTGATCCCGGACAAGTCACTTCACCTCTCTGCCTCGGTTTTCAAGTACTTACTTCACAAAGATCAAATGAGTCAACATTTGTAGAAAGCTCCCAGCACACAATAATAAAATAACTACATAAATGCTTCTTTATTCCCTTCCCTTCCCCTTATCCATCAATAAAAATACAAAACAGGAAAAAGCCTGAGACCTATTTCCACCACACTGATCCAGCATTGCACATTAACTGCATGCAGCAATTCTAGCGTTGCTCCTCCCCTGTTCCTGAATGCTCCCACCTATTCCTTAAGCCTCAGCTCACACAGCCTCCTCCTAGGGAGGGTCACCGCACTTTCACTTGGGGAGGGATTTCTGCAGTCACTCGGCCCACCTACACCCCCAAACAGGGTCATCCCACCAGGAACTGGCCAGCTTCTGTTTTCAAAGCTCCAGCAGGGTCAAGCCTGAGCCTCCTGAAGCAGCCCAGTCCACTTTCTCCTCTTTGCCACTTGGACCACGTTCAGCTCCTGGTCCTGCTCCTTTCAGAGCCAGCTCCTCTTCAGACTGTCCAGAGCCTTTAAAAAAAAGGCTCCTCAGATGGCAGGACCCTGGGATCACTCACCATGTGGTCTGCCCTCCTCTGGAGCTCCCCTAACCCTTGCAAAATGCTCTCTGGTCTTGTCTCAGACACATTTGGGAATGTCCTTTATGACAGAAGGCTACCCCAAACTAGAGCATGCAGAAGATTGCTCTGCACACAGCAGGCACTACATAAATGTTTGCCCAACTCCTGAAACAGTCACCAGATCCCTAGGTAGCACTGAGGCTGCCAGCACACATATAACCTGCTCTATTAGCCTGCCTTCCTGGGGTTCCAGGGCAGCCCCACACCATCCACCAGGTCATGGGGGGAGTCAGTAAACTCTGACTGGGCCTTGCCTCGGACACTGGCCAGTTATGTGACCACAAGCAAGTTACTGACCCTCTACCACCCTTGGGAAGAAGCCCCTATGTGTGTCCTATCCAGCTTGCCTCCCCTTGCTGCTGCTTTCGGAAATGCCCCTCATGTGTAGACTGTGCTCCCTCCCGCCTTCCCTCCACCATGGAGAAGCCCCTCATTCCCTTCAAAGGCAGTGAGGTACCTTTTCATCACCTCGGTGCCCTCCATCACCCCCCCCATCACACTCCAGAGCTCTCTTGAAATTACCTGACACTGAATACTAGTAAAACATAAATAAATGTCTACTATCAGTCAGCTAGCACTCATTAAGCCCCTATTTTGTTCCAGGCACCCTCCTTCGCACTGAGGATACAAAGAATGGCCAGAGAGTTCCTGCCCTCAGGAAGCTCCCAGTCTAACAGGCAGAAGACAAGCAAACCAGCACGTACAAACAGCTGCAAAGCCGAAAAATGGGAGATAATGAACAGAGGGCAGGCACTAGAATGAAGAAGGGCTGGGAAAGGTTTCCTGTGGAAGAAGGATTTTAGCTGCCACTTTTAGGAGAAGGGAGAGCACTCCAGGCAGGGGACACTGCCAGGGAAAAAAGGCGAGTCGGGAGCCGGAGTAATGGGCTTGAGGAACAGCCTGGAGGTCAGTGTTCCTGAATCACAGAGACTGGAAGGTGGGAGAGGGGCAGGGGATGAAGGGCTCTGAATGCCCCACAGAGGATTGTATTTGATTCTGATGGCAATGGGGAGCCGGTGAGCAGAGAGGTGACACCGCCAGACCAGGGCTCTGGGACACCCACTTGGCCCCTGAGTGAAGGATGGACCCGAGGGAGGAGAGCCTGGGGCAGGCAGACCGCCTGCAGCTACTGCCAGGGTGCAGGGGGCGAGGGTCTGCCCGGGGCGCGGGGAGGGTAGGAGGGTCCTCTTCTTGTCTCGCCGGCCCCCGCCGTGAGTCTGGGGTCTCCCAGAGGTAAAGGCTCCCTCCAGGGATGCCGCTCGCAGCCCTCCAGGCCCGCCCAGCCCGGGACCCGAGCCCGCCCCGCCGACGCACGGAGCCCGCGGGTAACAAAGTATCCTCGTTGCGGTCAGGGCGCCCGGCCAGCGCCGTCTTGTGGGCTGCTCTCCCCCCCCCGTGCTCCCCCAGCCCCAGCCGGGCGCAGAGCCCCTCCCGTCTGCACCCGGAGCTGGGGGGGGGGGCTCCAGGCGACCCCGACCAGGGACCCCCGCCCCTCGGGGGAGGGGGAGGGGGAGAGCAGGAAGAATGGGAGAGAAAGAGAAGGGGAGATGAGGATGGAGACAGGGAGATGGAAGAGGAGGGGCGGTGGGGGGGTCCCGGGGGCGGGGCCCTCCCCTCCCCTCCCCTCCCTTCCCCTCCCCGTCCGTCAGTCCGTCCGCGCGTCCGTCGGTCCGCCAGCCCCCTCCCCCGCCCGGCCTCTCCCGCTCGGCGGCGGTGGGCCACCCCCCGCCCCGAGGCCACCCCGCCCCGCCCGAGCCTCCCCCTCGAGCCACCCCCCGCCCCCACCCGGGCCCCCAGGCCTCGGGCCGCTCCCGCCCGCTCTCGCGCTCGCCGTACCTGCTGATCTTCTGCGCGAAGGCTCGGCGCTCCGCCATGGCTGCGGCGCCCGGGGCCCGGCCGACTGGGACTGCGCGCCCCCGCCCCCGCCCCGCCGGGCGCGCGCCGCCACAGCGCCCGGCCCCCTCCCTCCCGGCCCGAGCGCGGCCCCGCCGGGATGCTCCCTCCGCGCAGGCGCGCCGCCCGACCCCCCCCCTCCCCCTCCCCCCAGGCCGAAGGGCGGGGCCGCTGGGGCGCTCCCAGGCCACCGGGCGTCGGAGCTCGAACCGGGAATGAAAACGTGCGGCTTTAAAGGAAGGGCGCTGCCCTCCGCGAGCTCCCAGTCAGGCGCCCCGCGTCCGCACCCCCTCCCCGAGCCAGTGGGCACGTAGGGCGGAGCGCTGTGCGGAGCGCTTCCCAGGAGATCTGCCCCCGCCCCCCGAGGGGGAAACTGAGGCACGGGGGGAGGGGTGTGTGTGACCCGTCCTGGGTGATCCAGTGACCGACGGAGTCGCTCTGCCCAGCTCTACAACGTGTCTCTACAGTGCCCCCCCCGAGAACTTGGGGACCGCGTGGGTGGGTGGGCGTGCCCTCAGTGCTTAGCTCGGTGCACTAAGAGGGTGCTTAATGTTTGCTAGTGGATTAATTGGATTGAATTAAATTGACCCAGAAATCCCATCTACCTCACAAGCGGTTGTCCAGAAGCAATCTGGAACTGTGGCCAAAACCCCATTACAGTGTGAGTGCCCTTTAGCCGGGGAGTGATGCCCAGCTACACCTAGACCCCAGAGAGGGGCAAGGGCTGGCGGGTTCAAAACGCAATTAAACCAGCCTGTCCCAGAAGCCTGCCTCGCATCCCAGTCAAGCATGACCCAGGATCTCCCCAGATCTCCGGCTGCCTACTTACGGTATAAAGGAAATCATCTCCCAAAGGATTGGACCCACTGAAACGGACGCCTCCTCCATGGGCCCCTCACCCCGGGATTGGAGGGGGTGCGTGGCTGAGCTCCTCCCGAGGCACCCACGTAAGGCGGGACCCCAGGGCGCTCACCTCTGCGTCTCCCACTTGCCTACCAGACTTTATCAGGCCCCTGTGCCAGGTACCGTTCCCCCTTCCCAGTCCTGTTTTTAAGTCAATTAAAAAAAAGTATGTAACATTACAAAGGAGTCAGTTATGCTGAAATAGTTATCCAAATAACTTTTAAAAAGCTCACGGACTCCAGGTTAAGAATCCCAGCTCTACGCTCTGCTCCCTTTATGAGATGGAAACCACTTTAATTAGTTCTAGAAGGAAAAATTATTACTGGCTAACCAAATACTAACTTAATGGGGTCTCTGGGGGCTTTGGAGCAGGAGGAAGTGAATGGGGTTGCTTGGTTTATCTGAGGGCTGACCAAGCCTCGCTTGGCTCAGGGCAGTGGAGCCGCAGACCCTTTTGCAGGATTCCCGAGGGCAGGGAAAGGATGCCGAAGTGAATTGAAGTGGAGTTAGATCCCTCTCTCCCTTACGTCATTGGAGAGGCTGAGTTGTAGGAGGCTACAAATCCAACCGGAAGCCGAGAAAAAAGCCCATGGAAGACTGTAATTGGGCAGCCTTTTCTGGTGTGTTTCCTTACGAGTCAGACCAGGTTCTTTGTGAACCTTTTGAATGCTTAAGTTCTGTTATCTGTGGAGTGACTGTACCTTTGTAAGTATGAAAGCTAGACATGGGCTGTGGGACTTTGCATGTTTAAATACAGGTCCCTCCCTAATACTACACTTAGAACACTATCAAAGCTCACCTTGTTTTGCTTTGTTTTTCACTTTTAAGCAGACTTAGACTGCTTAACAGTAAGCATGTGTCCTGGTGAATCTAGACAGCTAGTCTAAGAGCCTTATGGACTTAGGTCACAGAATCATAGAATTTGAGAGTCAGAAGGGCCCTCAGTGGCCACACACAGAAGAAGCCCCTAGTCTGATCTACCTCACAAGTGGTTGCCAGAAGCAATTTAGAGCTATGGCCCCGAAACTACTAAACTGTGCCTACCCTTTCACCCAGAAATAATGTAACTAAGTCCATATCCTAAAGAGCTTAAAGAAAGCGGAAAAGGACTCACATGTACAACAATATTTATAGCAGCTCTTTTTGTTGTGGCAAAGAATTGCCAACTGAAGGGGTGCCCATCAACAATGGTACATGAGGGTGATGGAATACTATTGTGCTATAAGAAATGATGAAGAGGAAAGTCTCAGAGAAACCAGGGAAAGCTTGGCATGAAGTGATGCAGGGTGAAGTGAGAAGACTGAGAAGAATGAGGAAGATTAATGTTTGGCTTGTATTTATTACCAATAGTTCTATGTGAATCCATTGGTTTCCCCAGACTCCAACCTCTGAAGGTCTGGCAGCTTTTCTGAAGAAGTCATTACTCCCAGCCCCCAAAGACATCTGCTCATTACCTAGCTTGGACAGGGCCCCTTGCCTCTGTTGGTTGTTATTGTTGTTGGTGTCCAAAGAGGACTATAGCATCTCGGGGTGATGTCTTGACTCTGGGCTTGAATTGAGTTTAAGTGGGGCACAGTTACACAGAGTCATTAGCCTCACTCTCTCTTCCAGAGACATCAAAGTCCAGTGGCAAGACAAAAATCAGGATGACTGGCGATGGCCTGGGATGCAGTGGGTAACCTTGGCATCTTGGATGTTTGGCCAAGCTCTAAGCTTTCCACGGAACTCACAGAGTTCCTATTTTCTATTTGCCCCAGAAGCCAATTTGAGCCAAGGCCCTCCCCAGGGGACATTCTTGCTTCCCTCGACCCATAGATGAAGTGATAGGAAGGAGCTGAGCACTGTCTTAGCCCACCTCTTCATTAAAACGCCGCCCACCAATTGGGGTTGCCAAGGGAGGTCCAAGTGATGTACTGTTAGGCCAGTCAGAACAAAGTCACACCTAGGTATTAAACATCCCCCCCACACACACACTTTTGGCACAAATGGAGGCTAGCCAGTAAAACCACTTTGTTACCAGGTTGCATGCCCCTGCTAATAAAGGATATAATAGTTATACAAGAACAAGAACGTTGTAAAGACAATCAACTTTGAAAGATTTAGTAACTCCAGTCAACATAATGACCAGCTCCAGAACTCGAGATGAAACATGCTACCTTCCTCCAGAGAGAGAGTTAATGGACTCAGCCTGCGAGTCACAATTTGTTGGGGTTTTGCACTTGGCCAGTGAGGGGATTTGTTTTGGCTCAATGTGCATGTTTGTGACGGGTTTTGTTTTTTGTGCTTTCTCATTGGGAGGGAGGAAAAAAGGAAAGAGCTGAAAACAAAAATATATTTGAATTTTTAAAAATGAAATTAGATGGGGGGGGGAATGGTTGTCCAGCTTCTGCTAGAAGACCTCCAAGGAAGAGAAACCGAGGGTTTCCTCAAATAACCATTCCACTTTTGAACAAGTTCTGCTTATTATAAAGTTGCTCCTGACAGCAAATCTCAATATGCCTATTTGCACCTTCTCCCCACAGCTCCTGGTTCTTCCCCCTGGAGACAGATAGAACAAGTCGAATCCATTCTCCTCCACGTGACAGCCCTTCAGATATGGGTATTATGCGTCCCCTTCTTCCCTCAATCTTCTTTTCTCCAGGTTAAACATGCCAAGTTTTTAGACTGATCTCCAAATGTCATGGACGGATAGCTCTTCGCCGTGTTGGTGGTCCTCCAGCTTATCAATGTTTTTCTTAAACCACAGTATCAGCCCTGAATGTGTTGCCCTAGAGAAGGTGATGAGGGCAGAGAACAATAGGACAGTGTCACCTCCTCATTCCTGGAAGCTATGGCCCTCTCAATACATTCCAGAAATGAGGAAAAGGTCTAGGAAAAGGTATGCAGACAGAAATTGGATTACTAAGGTGTCAGACAAAAATGAGGCTCAGAGAAAGGGGAGGGGCTTAGGAACCATCTGGTCCGACCTCTTTCCTTTTGAGGTGGGAGAAATAGACCCAGAGAGATTAGGTCAAACAATAAGTAACAGAGCCAAGATTTGAACTCAGTTCCTCTGACTCTGTTCAGGAGAACAGTTGGAAGAGAGGATTTTATAAGGAACCTAAGATCTCTAAAGTTCCCTAGAGCTTTGAAATTAATTCTGTGGAAACCAGCCTGTTAAGAATCTGTTTTGCCAGAAAAGATGGATGAGAAACATTGAAGGAGAACTGATGGATCCCGGAATTCCATTCCATAACATTTGGCAGACATTAAGCAAGTAGATGTGCTGAAGACAGTTTGAGGAATACAAAAACTCAGTGGCCTCAGCCTCTACTGGGGAAATGCAGCAGAGAGAGAAATAAATTTCAATTACAGTCCCAAATCATTGTCCATTTGCAGTGTCTGTCCAAGATATAGTTGCTGATGGATGAGCTCTGTAGGTTGTCAAAACAAATTCATGTAGTAGCCTAGACAATACAAGGTGATTTGACATAGAGAAAACACAAAACCTCAGGGCTAGAAGAGAACTCAGGGGCCCTCCAGCCATACCTACACCTGACTGAGAATCCCCCTTTCTATTGTGCATGAGAGATGGTAGAGTTTATAAGTATTTAGTTCCTATCTAAGCAGTAAAAAAAGAGCTGGGGGAGGGCAAAGGACATTTCAGATAGCAAATGGTAAGCTGCTTGAGGGCAGAGACTGGGTGGTTGTTGATTTTGGTTTTCATATCCCCACTGCTTAGCTTGGTGCCTTCCAAGTGGTAGGCCCTAAATAAATGTTCCATTGAGTGAATTGAATCCACTTCTGCCCCGTGATGAAGTTCAGAACAGAGGGGAAAAGAATCTCCTTCCTGCTGCTTTACAGCTATATTAAAAAGGACAAGAGAGAGAGAAAAACAACAAATTCATACTTTGAAAAGGGTGGATCTTGTTGGGACAACTGCATTTCTTGCTTTAGTTGTTGGGAAATTTTTTCAAAAATGAGCTTAAATCTGCCACTCTGTTCCTTAAGTTCACCAGATCATGAATGTTGAGCTGGAAGGGACCTCAGAGGCCATGGAGTCTTGGGATCATGGTTAATGTTTATATAGCACTTTATAAATAGGACCTCATTTGATCCTCTCAACAACCCTGGGAAGT